CTCTCTTCCCGTTTCAGCACTCGCGGCCGTGGAGTGTTAGAAACTAACATGTGGTTTAGACACGATCATGATGGACCGGATCTGGCCCAAGGCCAAGATCTCTTTGACCTCTCCCCGACGCCCTTACGTGCATAGTACCCTCAACTCGTAATTGCTGATCCGAGCCTACCATCCTAATAAAGCGACTATAGAAACCCAATCTTTGTATATAACGTGTCAAATCCAACTCTGATATCGCACAATATAGGTAGCGCAACTGCATGCCCATAACAACAAAGCTCGAGAAGATGCGGGAGTTTGTTAAAGAGTTCTCTCGATACAGCTATGAGTAGACAATTCATGCCATTCGAAGAGACACCGCTTTGATTACTAGCATAACAATATAGAAAAGATACGAAACTATCTTCTAGAAGGATATATCCCATACTTGTAAGGCTAGTCAACTCAGTGTGCCACCTGGGCATAACTCTCTTATTGGACACTGCCTGACCGGAAGCTATCGCCTTCTCGAAGTAAATGTGCTATTTCCATTTGTATTTGTATACTACTAAGAAAAGGGGTACCTCAGAAGTTAAGGCCCGAGAAGCTAAGGGGGGGTGCTAAGGCAGCCTAGAGTATATAGCACACTATATAGTTTAATATTGTAAAAAGAGGCAAGGGTCGGTTACTTCTTATCTGATCTTTTGAATGCTTTTTTAAATAGTCTTTTATACTACGCTTTTATAACCCTAGAAAGTGAGATCGGACTAGATTACTGGCAATATAATCCAATGAAAGAGTTGTGTCCAGGCACACTTAGTAGCCCGTAGGTTGGTATTAACACCATTCTCTTCTATCAAAGAATTCGACTATTTCTGCAGAGGTTCCAAAACATTGGAAACTTCACTAGGTAAAGTTCTAAGGATAACTAATGTCTCATATTGAGACTCGAAGCGCGTGGTCGGAATGGACAAGTGCGTGTGTGGAAGTTGTGCCAAGGAGGCCTTCGGCATTTGGCCCGAGAAACGGCTGCCTTAGCAAATTGTGTAAAACCTAGCGTCAAGCTAACAAACCGGTTAATTCCTAGGTAACCCTGTTAGTGTTAGCGTCAGCAGCTGAATGCGGGCGCCTAATCCGCTCCCAATTATCTTGAAGACTCATTGTAGCAGAATAGATGTAATCATATGAGGTCAGCCCTATATATCCCCAGTAAAAGTGACAGGGGGCTGTGTTAAGAGGCTCTCTGAGTCAAAACGCCCCGATATCCACTTTGGCACGATCGTCATCCAGTCATATGGTCATTTGGGATCCTTGATCCGGTGTGAATTGTATTTGTGAACTATTCGGCTACACAGCCGGTGGCTCACCGACTCATTGTACCGAATTGCTGGTTATGGCTGGGCTTCTTCACTATGTGTTCACCGTCTTTGCTGTGCCACACTCCCTGCCACACTTATCCCCGTTTCGATAGGGGTGTCATAGTGAGAGTCAGAGTGAACACTACAGCTGAAGAATAGGACTGGACTGGTCTTTTGTGTATCCCCCACTATCCTCACATGCATAGAGGGGTAAAATGGATATGCAGATAGACAGTGGAGTATATTCAGACTCATTTCTGTCCAATTGGGCGCGCCCCGTTAGGTTTCTGCCTGGGGCTACCCATAGGGCTGAAGGATCTACAAATGTATTGTATCCCGATACTGATTCTATACTCTATATAACGCTCATTCCCTCTATATACCCCCTCAAGTCTCCTTTCGGTTCATTCTTTCGTTTCTTTATATTCGCATTATTTTCTACGTTCTACTTCTGTTCAATCGGCTGGTACGCTTCCTCTCTTTCGGCTACCCAAACAACCCAACACAGCCATACTTCAACCCTCCGTCTACTACTCCAAACCCTCTCCAAATATCATACGATGTGTTACAAAGTCGTCGAACGATACTCCGTCTGCAAATGCCTCTATTTCGAGCACTCGATCGACCCATGCTCTGCTTATGGACAGCGCGGCCATGAAGTACAAGAAAAGACCGTCCTCGTTGGCTATACCTGTGACAGACACTCCGGTCGCGGGATATCTGCTGCTTCACCTGGTGTAAGGCAGTGGTCTGATTCGGGGTATGGGAGTTTGGATTTGAGTGCAAGTCAGGATGGCAGTGACAATGAGGAATGTTGGTAGATCTAGGGGTGGACCGTGTATCATGGCTGTGCCCTGATTTCGGAGGGGGTTTGGGTGTGTTGTTTTCTGTTTTCTGTTCTCTTTTCTATTTGAATTGTGGAATGGGGGTTCTTCGGGTATTTATTGTCGACACTGGTGTTGGCGATTCCCGATGCCGGAGAGATGTGGGTCCTTTTCTCTACAATCCTTTCTCTGCGCTTCATTGCTTTGGCTTTTGCAATGCTGGGGTTCCTCCTAGCGAGCGGACTGCTTTGGGGATCATTGATTGATTCCATCTGCATTTTATTCAACCGGGTGTTGAGTACCCATCAAAACGCCTAATACGAAATGCTGGTCCATGTCTGGAACGGAGGGTGCAGGGCGAATGTGCGAACGAGAATGGCTGACGAAGATACGTGTGAGATTATGCTGTACGGATGATGGGCCATGATGTTCTGAAGATATAATGCATTGTGGGCGTTTCTTTTGTCTTTGAACGTGTCTGTCGTCATATGTCCTGGATTCCGAATTTGGAGATGAGGACTGGTTCCTCTTGTAGCAAGCGATAGTAATCCATTGCATTTATTATTCCCGGGATCTATTGAAAAGCCGCCAAATTTGCCTGTGCAGTTGAAAGAAATCCAAGCCATCTTGGATGTAAAGGTGCTTCGAACCGTGAGAGGATCAAGGTAATCTGGCTGTGCGAAGGTGAGCCGGAGACTGATTCGCTGAATCCTGCGAATGATACTAGGTACTATGTTAGCCTGGTATGTCCCTTGATGTTTGTTCGGTCACTCACAGCTGAGTAGTCTTGGTAAAGTCCAAATTCTCGCAAAATGATCCAACTGTAGACATAGGGCAGTTTTATCGTGGTCGATATGTGACAAAAGTTCAAGCGACGCCATTCCCACTGATTTCATATGCAGATCGAGGAAGATGAGAGCAGTGAAGATGATGAAACAAATTGCTGGATCCACTTGTATGCAGAAATAGCTATTCCATTGTCCTGCAATCTGAGCAATGTCCTGGCACGTCTCGAGAACTTGCTGCCAGCTCGCTATCCATCCGTCATCTTGTGTTCGACTACAAGCCACAATAGCTGAGAGTAATCTTGCCATGTGGAGATGGAAGACAGTGATTAGCCTTGCGTGGTGTTCAGGAGGGGATTCATTTGTAAATGCATTGCGTCTGGGATTGAACCAGCCAGGCGGAAGTGTGGCTTCGCCATTTGGCCTACGTGCGTCTAACAGGAGAGATGTGTTGATAAAACTGTTGTCGATGAGATATGGTGTGCCGAAAGATAGACTGGAGTATGAATCGAGACGGTAGATACACCACCACACTGAGCGCCATTCTTGAATATCTTCCTTGCCGAGACATCCCCAGTCAGGACACATCGCTTGAAGGGGCTCAAGGCGATCAAGTCCAATTCGATCGGGCATGCGTGTTAACCTGCCTGTGCGCATCCATGATTGGTGGCTAGGAATTGGTGAAAATCCTAGACTGCTAGCACGCAGGCTCTGCGGAACTGGTCAAGGGATGGGGAATCGCCGACAATGTCATCCTCGAGTAAGCTGGGGCCTAGCAATAAGTCGATTCGAGCATTAAGGGCAGATTCGTTGGGGAAAAATTTGTATCCTGTAAGCCTTGCCGTTATTGTGACTATCACAGAGATGAGTCCTTCGTTACACAATGAGTTTCGATAGTTCTCGAGAAACTTCGTCTTTGGGTACCTTTGGTAAAGATGGGAATTGCATCTTGGGCGATTTCGAAATATTGATCAAGCCTGTGCATAGATTCTCTCAATACAAAGCATATTTGAAAGAGAAAAGGGGCATACAAATATTCGTCTTGCTGTGTGGGAATCTCATACTGAGCAGGGGATTGACCATTGTCACTTGTTTGGGGAGATAATTCGGAGATTGGCGATGTTGAGGGCTCTAAAAATGGCCGGTAGATTGGTCGCTGATCTATACCACAAGCTTGGCATGTGGTACAAGGCTCTCTACCTTAATTTAACGCGCAAATAATGATCAGTAGAAGATACTTGACTCACCCGCCAATTGACCGAAGATGGAGTGGCTCAACATACATTTCGCCTTCTTACAACAAAAGCTTCAGTATCAACACAAAATGATAGAGAGAGCGGAAATACTGGATGCAGCTATCACAAACTCGCATGGCCTCTTCGGCCGTGGCCCGGCCTTCATGTTATTAACTCGGGTTAGGGGCTTGAGGTGGTGAAATTGCGCCAGCGAGTCTCGGATGCTCCATCGCTGTTTCAGAAAAGTAAACGAAAGACGCTTCAGCGAGATTCAGAAGCGGACGAACTGCTTATGATACCCCGGCGCTAAGCCTAATTAGGATTAACGGGTGCTCCGAACTATAAAACCTTCTTTTCTCCGGGCTCTCGTTTCAATATGAAGCCAATAAAAATAACGGTCTACAGATTGATAGAACGAAAAATAAAGAGACTAGTAAACCTGCAACTCGGCATTCGAACGGAGGAACTTAAGATGGGCCGGGTCTGGGTCCTCCGTGTCCACTCAAAACCACATGATTGCGCCGTACATATGTACTTTGTACGATAGACTTGAGATTATTGGGCGAAAAGGCGGGAAAGAAATGCAAGAGCTGCAGCTAAAAAGCAATTTGATTCGAAATGATCCCTCACAATTATTATTTACTAACTAAAATTAGCCTAGTGGCATGTAGGTCCACCCCTTGTAATAAGCTGACACGCTGACCTCGTGAGGCTAGAGATCTGCAGATATTTAACCCATTTCCTTCCCCAATCTTTCCAATCTCTGTGGAAGTGTGATATTCTCCAGCACGGCCGAGACTGTCCCACGATAGTCACAACATGGGGAGCGACTTCAAAGTCATTGTGGTTGGCGGCGGCCCAATAGGGCTAATTGCCGCCCATGCGCTTCACCGTGCCGACATTGATTTTGTGGTTCTCGAGCGCAGACCTGCTATTGTCGAAGATAAGGGGGCCAGTCTTGTGGTATATCCGACTACATTTAGAGTCATGCATCAACTCGGTATTTTAGAGTCATTGTTGCCTATAGGAGGAGAGCTTGAAACTCATATGTCGCTTACCAAAGACGGGCATGTCTTTAATGAAAGCCCAAGATATAGAACAATTCGAGAGAAGTGAGTCGTCGTACTGATTTTCAGGTGTTTCTGGCTGACGTTTTTGGAACAGTCATGGACATGGCCCTGTTGCTTTCGATCGCTCGGAAGTGGTTAGAACAATGTACAATTTGTTACCAGACATCGCAAAAGAAAAAGTCTTGACCAACAAACAGCTGAGCAATATAGAGACAAAAGGTGACGGGGTCAAGGTGACATGCGTCGACGGCAGTGTCTACCACGGATCAATAGTGATCGGCGCAGACGGCGTTCACAGCAAAACCCGACATGTTATGCGCGACATCGCCTTGAAAGAAGATCCGCTACGGGACTGGGATCCCGAAGAACCGTTCCCAGCAACATTCCGGCTTATATATGGGGCATTTCCCACACCGTCGCCTTCCGGTGAAGGAAACGACACCCAGTCATCGGGAAAGTCGGTCTCGTATTTCAGCGGCCCGAAGCGTAGCTGGTTCTTCATGAGCGAGAAACTGCCGAAGCCAACCAACGAGCGAAAACATTACACCGAGAAGGATATTAATACCCTCGCTGCCGAGTTTGCGGATTATCCACTGAACCGCACGGTCAAGGTCAAAGATGTCTGGCCGAAGATGTTGGCCGTAGGCATGACGGACCTCCATGAAGGAATCGCGAAGCACTGGAGTCTGGGCAGGATTGTGCTCGTGGGCGATTCTTGTCATAAGTTTACGGTTCATATGGGACTTGGGTTTAACAATGGTGTTCAGGATGTTGTGGTGTTGTGTAACCGTCTACGAGGTGCGGTTCAGAGTGCTTCTGAAAGAAACCCAGATACAGCTGCCCTTACGCGTGTGTTTGATGACTACGAGAGAGTTCGAAAGAGCTCGGACTGCTCGCTCGTTGCGGATTTGGCAAATACGGGATTGGAGACTCGTATGTACACTTGGTACAACTCTCTCTACTGGTTTCTTTCTCGATATATCATTGCTCTTTCAATTGTTGAGGGCCTGGCACTTCGATTTTCCTTTTCTCCTGGGTTTCAGAAAGCACAGGTGTTGGACTATGTTGAGGCATCGGAGCCGATGAATGGGAAGCTGCCTTGGCTACACCCGATGAAGACTAAGATACTGTGATATACTGCTATCTCAATTAGATATTGTCAATAATTCCTTTTTAGCCAGAAAATAATATGCTTGGCTTTGGGCTCGTCTATCAACCATAAGCTTCCTATGCCAGTGCTAGACCTTCGCAAAGCCCATCGGGCCCACGATGGGGGCCCAAAGCCCAAAATAAGCACCAAACAATACAAACATTCTAAGAAACGTGACTTTTTTTAATTACCTTATGTTTAGATCCCATTGTTAGCTCTTGATTAGGGTAATATTTTATTATTTTAATTAATAAGTTATTAATAACTAGTAGAAAAGTCAGAATACAGCGATTACAAGATGCTAGTTGAACCCCCTAAATGGGCTTTGATAGGGGCCCAATAAAAGCCCATCAAAGCCCATTGGGTTGGGTTGGGCTTCGAAGGTTAGGCCCATTTATGGGTCACTGCTTCTATTTAAGTACTCAAAGACTTTTGATTTTTGATTTTTGATTTTTGCTCACTATTACTAGACCTAAATATATTTCTAAGCAGTATCATTGGGTATCTGACACCTGAATTAACAACGCTAAAGAGGGAATCATTTGCCATGTCATACTTTATCTTGTACCTTTAAGGCAGAGCTGTTTCCCACGTAATCCCAACACATTTCTTTAAAATTCCAAAGCCAGATTAAAATACATATATGGCGGGCCAGTGGGAAGTTGCCTCAACTATTGGGACCTGGGTGGCCGTTATACTAGCTATACTCGCCCTCGGGGGTCTCCTAGGTCCTTTTTTAATCTGGAGAGCAAGTCAGACAGACCGCCACCAGGCTCTTGACCGACTAGAAAAGGGAGAAGCAGAAAATGGAGGATATATATCCAAAGGTCTTCGCGTCTCACCAAAGATTCGACTTTTTCGTCGTGTCCATGCCCCGCTCCTACAACAAGAACCTCAGTTGTCCGGTCATACACTGGCCCCGATACCAGTCACAAATGTTTCGCATAAATCGGCGAATTGGGTACAGTTCTGTCTTGCGATGAAATCATACAGGCTTTATACCAGCAAAGGAGATCCTTTAATCGTCCGAGCGGGTAGAACATGGCTACCCATGCACAAAAATTGGATTTTGATCATGGGGATCATAGGCCGATTCTCAAAACGGCCTGATCATGGAAAACTGCCCTTGCCAGCGAGAGGTCGTCTGAGAGGTATGCAGGCCCAGCCCGGGAGAGTCTTCCAAAGAAATCGGAAATTTGACTCAGCCTCCGGCAATGGATTTCTTCAAAACAGCTGGCTCCTGCATCCCCGTGGGTACGGGACAAGACATGAGATAGACGACGATGATGGAGACCGTTTCGGCGCTCTACATGGTGTATTTGGTACACTGTGGACGGCAAGTACATCTTATCGGCAACCCAATCCCTCGAAGGCATACTATACCCAACACAAGACAGCTGAGACGGGGGAGCTGTCCGATAATGCCCTTAGTATTGGCAACCTGTTTTGGTTATCTGTGGGGTGTATTCCTATAGTCAACGGGAACATCTACTGTTTGGAAAATGTCAGCGAGATCGTGGATGAAACGCACCAGCAGACACCACACGAGAAGGAAGAAATAGGCCTCTATGTTTCAGATACCGTTGATCGGCGAAATGCTCACTTTGAGGTTGACTCCGACTACGAGACCGAGTCCTCTGAATCCTCCGAATCCACCAGGAGACGGAATGCCCGGAATAAGCGCCACAAAGCGAACTATGTCATCCCGGCTAGTGAACGCAGAAATGGACGCCCAACAGATCCCCGGGTGTTCCGTTTCAGCACTAGCACTGACCGTGTCGAAGCCCTCCACAATGTTGCAAACAGCCTCGAAGCCACGAATGCCCATGGAGTAGTGTGTTCTCTTGAAGAGATTGAGGTTCCCAACAATGCCAAGAGCGAGCTTGAGGAGTCAGTGCGCTCAACGTACCATCCGATTAACGGCTCCTGGGTACGATTAGGCAGAGTTTCCAACAGCTCTCGCCGCACCGGGAAGCCGATCCTTACATTTATAGAGCGACAATCAGCTCACGCAATTTCAAAGGCATTACTCGACATCCCCATATCTGTAGATGGCTACTTGATGCCCTGCAACCAATCCTCACTTTGTCGGGCGACACTATGCAATGCTGCTCAATCTTTCCCGCATCTCATAAGCCGGATGGCAAATGACTTGGACAGTTTGTCTATTCCCACGGCGGATCAAGACAAGACTGCCACCCTCTTTAACAAATTCTTAAACATGTGTCTTGATTTTAAGCCGGACAGGATGTTCTTTCGCACTCTTTCTGAGCTCGACTCTGTTCTGTCGACATTTCTTTCCCCCAATCTCAAAGCGAATACTGCAATCGGGGTTGTTATGCTCACCAGTGCAGAATTTCGGGATATTATTGCACAGTCCGCTAGACTTATTCCGCAATCGAAAGACAAGTGCGTTGTTTTGGATCTTGGTCAATCACCGACCTTGAACATTCCCTCTTCAATGGGCGTTGTGCAAAAGTTTCCCCTTGACTTATCTGTTCTTTGCCCTGATCAGCAAGTTCGCAACGAGCTTATTGAGATAAATTATCACCAACTGCTCTTCGCGGCTTTGAAGGCGTGCTTGCGGAGCGTTGTTCTGGAGACCAGCCTTGACTCGACGCCTTTGTTTGAGGCATTCTTGGAGATGGGGGAAACTGTACAGATGGGATAATTATCGGAACTCTGAGAGAGGAAGGGGAAAACGATATGAATATATTCATTATCAGTATAGAGGAACAGAAGAAGAGGAAGAGAAGCAAGGCACAAAGCTACATAGACTGCTCGGCAGTCCTAGCAAATAGGGTCAGGTAACTACACTGATCCTAACAATAGTCAGTTACCATCTGTCATGTGTAGATGGACTCTACAGTCTCTCGTATAATTCACTAACTATTAAATCTTTATATGTATCAGTTCAATGACGACGAAGTTAATCTCTTTAATCCGAAGCCTGGAGATCGACCCAAATCTTGGTAATATTCACATTCGCCGGTCGCAACGGATACACAACTTCCCCTTCCTCGTCTTTCTCTTCATATGTCGTTGTGTGAATCTGCGCAATGATAGTCCCCTTGAACGGTGCCGGCGGTTTTGACCACACCTTTTGCACAGCCTCAGAAACACTCTCGATTTGGATACCCCGGTATCCTTCAGCTGCGGAACGTCTCATCATCTCTTCAGCCAGCAGCCTCATAAGTCCATGACCGGAATGAGATTTGACGGTGTTGGTAGCGTTGCGCATCAATACTTGTCCGCGGGCAGTGGGCTTCCACGATGCAGGATCGCGCTGGTCGCGCTCCTCGAGGGCGTGATAGACTGTTCCGAACAAGGGCAGTGTTGCCACCAGAGGTTCTATCTGAGCCACGTCTAGCTCATCAATGCCATCATAGGCCATGGCAATTGAGACTAGTGGGAAATCCATTTGCTCCGCAAGCTCGACTTCAGTGGCATTCTCGTCATCCAGATTCCAGTAGAGCTTGCCCCCAGTGGCTACAGACTCGGGTCGCTTGTACTGGTATTCTTTGTCAAAGATACCAAGTGATTTCCCTGAATCGATCTGGTGCTTGATTAAATAGTGCGCATTTCGAAAAGTCTGATAGGCTCGTTGGGTTTTCTTCTCAGGATAAACAACTGGCCAAAGCGGGGAGTGGAATAGATTTGTTTGAATGCAAATTGCTCGGGCCCATTCCTCATGTTCTGGTCCAAGAACGCGAATTTCGTACTGCGGTGGGAGAGGTGCCATTTTGATCAAATTATGAATTTGAGATATAAGATAAAGAGAAATGAAGATGCCAAGGGGATACGAGGCTATAAATACTCGAATTTCGAGTTATTTAATACTAGGCGTCCACGTGTCTCCTCTATTAGCGCTTACCTAATTGTCACTCTGCAGTGTAACCATTTCCTATCGGTGCAAGGATGTTAGCTAAATATCTATATGAGTTACAGTCTTATTTTCTTGTCGGGTGTGGGTTTATAGGAAGTCGAGGATGATTTGCGGATCTATATCGGCCGCATTAGGCCTTTGGGTAGAGACCCCGGATACCACCGGCAACCAAAATTCAGATAGAAATGGAACCCCAGATACTGTCGGCGAACTTCTTCTCATACATGTTATCCACAGTCTATCAATATGGCCGCAGTCCCAGAGAGCCGACCTATAAAATTCACAATTACCCACCACCGCCAGCAACAACACTCCCATGAGGCATTTATGAAGTGGATGGTCGAGGAGCACCTACCTCTTGCCATGCCCGTCTTCGTTAAATACGGAGTGCTTGAATACTCACTTGTGAGTTGCTACTTGGACCATGAACTGCCTATGCAATTGTGACTGATTAGATAGTTCGGTATCTAGTTCGCCACACCCCCTTCTATCAATGACGCATTGAAACAGGAAATTATACAAATTCGACCAAGCTGGGATTTCGCTGACTTTGACTGTTTCATCGAGTACACACTTCCCGATGTGGAAACCATCAAGAAAGTCATGTCGGATCCAGAGTGGCAGATAGCGGTCAAGGACCAGAGTGACTGGGTTCAGGTCTCGAAGGCTTTAGTCTCCGTGGGATACTCTACCCCGTACGTGCTAAACGGGAAGCCTGTAAACATGGCAAAGTGATTGGGCATAGATCCGGGAGTAAAAGTTAGGCTTAGATAGCCAATTCGTTATTGCTGAATGTTATTCATGACAACAAACCACCATCTTAAATATCCGGGGCATTGTAATAGTGCTCATTTGCCGGGAGTAGTAGCTCAGCTACAATACGCTCCTGAAAAAGTAGCATAGGGCCTGAAGGGGATCTTTTTCCGCGTGACGATCGGCCAGTTCGTATAAGTCGTGGCATTTTTCGGGGTTTCAATCGCTTCCAGAAGCTCGGAGGTAAATTAAGCCTCGTAAAGATAGATAAACTCACTGTCTTGCCACTTCGCCATGAAAAGACGCGACTATAATGAATATGTTAGGCTTTGGGTATTCGCAAAACAGGTTTGGAAGTAGATTCGTGTTTACAAACACGTACCGTGTGCGTTGTGTGCTGTTTAGATACGAGGGATCGCTCCTGCAATTGGGCAATAGTCAGCAGTATACGAACAAAGTATGGGTCCTCCTTCCAGTTAGCTAGGGTTATTTGGGCTAGCCGTTTTTCATGGAGACGCCCAACAGGCATGTTATTGCCGCTGCCGGGGTGGCTTTTAACCTGGAATTTATCTTTGCGGCCGTAAATAGCGTGTGTGTAGTCAAAGTAGCCAATGAACATTCGAAAAGCCTCATCAGGAAATTGGTTAGGTTCTTTGCGACGACCAAACACGACATATTTTGGTCGATGAATCGCTTGGCCTGCAAAGTAAAATTTGGGTCCTTTTTTGCTGTTCATAAACATCATTAGTTATCGTTCTTGACCTAACTGCCTGCCCCGTTAGATGATTACTTACCAACGCTCTTCAAGGACGCTTCCCTCATACTCCAGAATGTGGTACAAGGAAGAGAGCTTCACAAGGGGCGTACAGCTCTGTGCAAGTCGCTCAGGGTGCGATGGAGGCGGTGGAGGTAAAAGAACGGGTCCGTGGCCAAAGTCAGCCCACTCACGGGTTTGTTGGCCGTCTTGAGCTTGATCGTTGTCTTGGGTGTACTCCATCGATTTGAGCAGTTCGAAGCGACATCCTACCAGATCCAAATGACAGGAGGTCCAGAACAATGGGTCCACAAACAGATCTCGGTGATAGCGCATGAGATAGGCAAGTGGTTGGGGCTTCAAACTGGGCTGCATCTTGAGGTGTGGAATTGTTGCAATTTGTTGTAGGATGCGCGGCGCGTCGACACGCCCACGAGCTCATTGCATTTCTAGATCAGGTGACAACATTCGTACTTCACCGACAAAGGAGGATAAAGGTATGCAGACGCAATGGGGTAATTATTGCCTCTACATTTCAATGTCTATCTCTTACCCCATTCTTGGCAATATCTTTGCACCGTAATAGATAATGACATATTGCGGGTTAAAGCCAGGCGCTTAGCAGTCCACCGGCCCAATATGAATACGAAGTTAATGAACATGACGCCTTAAGTTATGTCTTATCAACTGCTCTAGGAAGGCACTGCGCTACTACGCCTTGAGATATCAAGCGTATCGCCGTTTAATTTAACACAATCCAATCTCATTGGCGAGTTGGTGACTCTAACCGCCACTAAAATATACTAACTCTAGTACCTATAAATAAGTGGTCGCTATTGTATTGATATATCTTCCCTAATTCTTTGGATCTGACTGATCTTGTAAAAAAATAAAATAAAAAAAGGAAATAGGCTTACAATTCTGGCTTTTATCACAAGATATTTCTTTGTTCAAGTGACCAAAATGAGCCTCAATGACCAGATCATTGTCAATTTTCGATTCGTTGTCCATACTATGGGCTTGGCTGGCTGGGACAAAAGCAAAGATCACTGGTCGATATACCAGGTTCTCAGAGGAAATAACACGTCTGTTCGTCTAAACATGTCACTCGCAAACGGCAGTGATGAAGAGGGGACCTTCACTGCGACCGAACATTTCTATATTATCTGCAAAGGGAGTAGACATACAAATTGTATTTCAAATTGTTGCAGTAGACACGGTCCAAAAGATTGATAATGAGTTCATCATTAAGTTTCCTATCAAACTTTCGGTGCGCGTTTTCAAGTGCTCTTGAAAGATCTTGCGCAAAGCGGCTGTCTTCTTTCTGTCCAATAAAAAGAATCGAGTATGTTTCAAACTCCCGCGGATAGAAGCCAGCGAATTCCCAGTCCAGGATGTATAAGAAATCATCTCGTACAATGATGTTCCGCTGACTCAGATCCATATGGCAGAAGACGCAGTCGGGGAGTTCAAAATTGAAGTCTCGCTCAGAGGGTGGTAGCTTCGCGCGCTCATTGAACCATGAGTTGATTTTGCTAATCGTGTCCAGTGGCTTTCCCGCTCCGTCTTCGGAGAATAGATAGCCTCGGGGTATTCCTCTGTTTCGTGGGCCAGGGTAATCAGGCGATAGAGCTGTCGAGAGAGCATATAGCGAGTTTGCTAGATTTTGAATGATTGTTGCTTGATTTTGGATCGGGGTTTTGTCTAATGGATCCCCGTGGATGAATTCCATGACAATATATCCCATGCCAGACCTCGAGAAATTCCGATAGACCTCTGGTACTTTGATATTAGTATCGCATGAAAGAATATGAGCATATTTTTGATTCGCCGCTTCATCTACAGTCACGCTCCACCCGAATTTAACAATCACATCATCGGATATTCGTTTCAAGCAGCGTCCGTATTCTCTAGGGTTCGGATTATGGCTTCCATGGCATAAGCGTGCAATATCTTCATCAGAAAGATCAGTGATTGTGGACGCCATCGCCGAGGCAGGTGTGGACGTCATCGTCGAGGCGGGCGCTTGATGGTCGAGAGTATGAAGCATATCTGGAATGATAGTGGGAACGGTGATTTCGGAGCTAGCTGGGGGCCCCAGATAAGGCTGTGGGGCTGTTTCGGAATAAATAACGGCCCGGGGAAGTTAATACATACATACACGTATGTATTCAACCGGAAATGTTCTGGAGAACTTTGGAACTTTTGAAGTAGATCGGGAAGGAGAAGGAATCAAAATTCCGACGGTAAATCCTGGAGCGAGCAATGATGAAGTATGGGTTGTCGAATATTCATCGTAATACAGTAAATTACTCCATTTGCGATCATGTGACCTTCATTACAATACGTCGCGTTATTTGTAGAAATGCCAATGGAAGCATGTGAAGCAATTTGCATCACATGTTAATATTTCAAATCATATCAAAGAAAGTCCATGCATGGATATATCTTCAAAGTTGTAAATTGTCGCTTTCAATATTTGTATCCGTCAACCTTGGAAGCTATGTAGAGACCTAGAAAGGTCCACTTATACCTTATCGCGCGTCACGGGGCCGCGTTCCTTTCCCACGGTCCAGTTTCCGTGATATCTGGAGGTTAATTTAACCACACACCACTTGTGAAATTTGTCCCTAGCATTAGCTTGCGACATACTCTAACAATGCTCGGCACTCACTGGCTACCAGCCGCCCGGCTGAACATCAACCAGGCGCGAAAATTCTCCCTCCTTTCCACCCATGCTTCATTTCCCGCGACGATGTATCGATACCAGCTAGCGCGCAAGGCCACACTATATGACGTGACCCAAGACGAGACCCGCCACAGGAAGGATGCAATCACTGTATCTAAGGATGGGTTGGTTCACGCAGCCATCTCGAAGTCCAGCCCCTGTCTGTAAACTCCTGTCTAGCCCTTGTGCAATAGAGTCTAATTATCTATATATTAGATTCCAATGGGCCAATCTTCATGCCCAATTCTCGTCTTATGCAGCAAATGCTGCGCTTTGATTTCGAGCGGTACCAAGAAGAAATCGGCGACGGCAAATCTCTTTTGGACCCCACTGTTATCTGCGTTCCGCGAGGTATGATTTTTTATTTTCCATGTTCGGTTTTGAGTGAAATCAGAAGCTTATGGTTTTAGGTACTCCCGTCCCATCTGCTCTGGTACTATGGAGAGAGGGCATGTCTCGCTTTTCCCTGCAACCTTCAAGTCCTATGGAAATCGAAAGTGAGTTTGAAGCGAAGACACGGGTAAATTGGGCGGGTATTAACGATTTATAGAGCTGAACGACGTGCTTAGCGAGTTCTACGAGAAATCTGCGATAGTTGTTGGCGCAGAGGAATGGATTGAGAAACATCCATACCGGGAGAGCTTTGCTGACGAAAACGAGAAAGGATGGATGGAGGTGTAAGTCTCTGGGATCTTGGGTTTGTCAAATGTAAAATATGCATGAATATGCATGGACGGCATGATCGACTGCAGATTATGTAGGCCAATCAATCATATATCTGTGTCAACAAGCGCCGCAATAATTATAGGCGCACACCTGATTTCAAAATCACAATGTGATCATTTGAAAAGTATTTGACATTGTAAGAAGAGAAACGGTAACTAACCCATCATCCTGTTGAATCTACTCCAGATTCACGGGGAAGCTGTCCTTAATAGAACCCACTCTCTGTCTTCCGAATTTAGATCCCTCACCACCATAGAGCGAAATTGACTCCCGCAGAATACGATCAAGGAACTCTGTCTTTGCCTCAGACCACTCCAAGAAACCAGTGTCTCCTCTGCAGAGGCGCAACAGTCTCTCCGGGTTGTAAGTAACCCAGTCCTGGCGATTGATCATGCCTGTGATGGGGGCTGTCATTACATCTAGCGAGGCGCGCCGTTTAGCAAGGAATCTTCGGTAGTTATCGATATCAGCCTTTTATAGTGTTGTGGTTAGCCTGGAGTGAACGAGACGTGAAGGGTCGAAACACAAAAGAAAACATACATTCTGCTGTTCGTTTGAATCGTCCCAATCGATGACAGTCAACATATGGAAGCGGCGATGAGTCATTTCGGCATGCTCAAACCTGAGGCAGAGCTCCTTGGAGGCCTCGCAAACAGCAACGCAAAAGCTCGAATTCCAGTATAAGGTTTCGCCGCGAGACCAAAACGTACCAGTCCACTCCAGAATCGCGCACAAGTCGTAGACGTCACCTAGCATTCCCAAGGAGGGCTAGCTTGCTTTGTTAGCTTTTAAATGGTCCCTATGCATCAGGGCAGGGACGTGGACGAGGTGCGTACGTACCGCTTCACAGGTAATCTTTCGACCAGAACACTGCCCACAAGATGAGTTATTAGTGTTTTCATTGACAGCACAGTAGATTTGAAAGGGCTTGTTTTGCCGAGGGTCATAGTTTGCGATACTAGTATGAAGGCAGCTCAAGCACCAGTTCCGGAAGGGTAGCTCATCCATCTTGGACGGATGACGCGTATGTAAGAAAAGAAAAGAAAACTTTCGACATGAACTTGTCTTTTTGAATCTTTGATTGCAAGACAACTTTTAAGAAGGAGCGAGCTATATCGATCTGCCCAGATGCCCTGTATAGATTATCAGATCGTACCTACCTAAATAGGTTGTACAAACTGAGTTTGGAAATCCATAGACCGGACTTTCCACTACTGATCACCTTAATTTAGCATGAAGTTACCACGTACATATGTAGACTAGGCAGATTGCGCTGAGACGACAGCGAGGTTCTTTTGGGGAGTTCAATATCTGTGGCATTCTGTCTAAAGCACCTCTAGAAGTGGTTATGCTTATTAATCCTCGATTAATATTCATGTACTATGGGTAGAATCTACAGCTAATTGTGTAACTGTTTCACCAGGTTGTCTCATATTCTTGATTGCAGATAGTAGTATTGAACAACAGTAATATCAAAAAGGCAAGGACATGCCCTGACAGTCTCATCGGCATCCAATCACTGTCTAAAACGAATGTCCTTAGTACCGGTGTGTCGCTTGATATCTTCTAAAAGATCCTCTGTGCGCATGATGTAGCCGACATTGCTATTCCCACCAAGATGCCCTCCATACAGCATCCCCATGAGAACACCGTCGCCAGTGACCACCAGGGCGCCAGAGTCCCCTATTGAGTCCATGCAAGCTGTCCAGGTTAATTTCCACTTTGTGTTCTTTTTCGCCCGGGTGATCAGCCGTGCCGATCTCCACGGCCACCATCGGAAGGTTTGATCTGTCGAGAATCTTGACAACATCATCTCTAAAGGCCTTCGAGTCAATTTTGCTCCATGGTCTCGCCAAAATCAACACAGTGGCAGGATTATATTGCGCCGCATCCTTTCTGCCTCGACGATAGCATCCAACGGATACAAGATGAGCTTCGTGGATGTCCAAGACCTGTATTAGAATATGTGGCCATTTCTTAAAGATCTCTTCATGCTCCAAAACCGGAAACATATACATTGGATAGTCATCATTGATTTCCAAAAACTCAACCACCAAACTGAGAAGTAACTCCTTTTCATCAGGGTCGTCTGTTTTTCCTCCGTGGCGTTGGAAAGAAGCTCGAATTGCTCTTGCCATATCGAGCCACATGTTATCCACAAGTCCACGTTCTGCAGAAATGAGTGCTGTCAACTTAGCAGGAGAGACCGAGCTTTTCCCTGGGGGAAGTATCGCCTCTGTTCTTCCCACAAACTGCACATCGCTAGCTGTGATATTGTAGTACTCGAGGGTCTCATGAACCAGACGCCCTATTAGGCCTTTTTTGGCTTCGCAGGCGCGATAAAGCGGGTGGGTGTCTAATATTTTCTAGGATCTGGCGGGTAATGGGCATAGTTCTCGCCCACCAACCCGAAAGTCGTGGTTGATGAAACCTTCGGGCGCGGGACTGCCATCATCATCACTTGAACCAAATAACCGTCTATTCCTGCCATCACTACTCGCTTTGCCATCTTCGTCCCTTTCGCGCCTGAAACGGCTTTCTTCCTTTTTGGTGTGTCGAGATTCACTGCCTTTATTGCTTCCTTTCTCGGATACAAATCTTGGAGACGCGTAGGCCATCTCGAGGTTTGGTCCACTCCACCTAGTGGATAATGGCTCAACAGCCATGGTGTGAGTGGATGACGGAGGAACTTGGGTGGATGTTGCAAAGATGGATCGATGATCGAATAGGACAAAGCACGCCTGATGGTAGCTTGGAAGTTACAGTCATTTCTACCAAATTTGATTCTGATGATTTGATAAGTGTTCTAACAAAGTGAGGGAGGGGAAGTCCTAGGTTTGAATAATAAAATTGTGCAAGGAACTTCTTCATTTGTTTGCACATCTATAAATGGTACAAGCTCTATATTGAACAAACATCAAACCTAATCCCATCCCAGATGTGTACTTGGATCGTATATTAAATTCAGAGGTATATAAGTACACCTGTCATTGTTTGAGGCTATATACTCTTGATATCGAATCCCAACTACAACTGTTTTGCTGTTCGGTGAAATATATATATATTTAGACGGTTCACGCACAAGGATACTGAATTTATAGCGTTTTTTTTGCCTAGTTCTAGAGTCTAGTCGTAGACTTTATAGAATTTCCTAGTAAAGTAATTTTTTAAAGCTTGAAAATTTGAAGACAACAGTCCTCATAGTCTATAGACACTATCATTAAAAATAAAAAATAAGACTTAGCTGTTAGTGGCTAATAGTGGACCATCTTACATGAACTAGCATCATTGGTCTAGTGGTAGAATTCGTCGTTGCCATCGACGAGGCCCGTGTTCGATTCACGGATGATGCACAACAATTTCTTTTTTTATTTTTGTATATAATTCCGAGTATGAATTACCCTGTTTTGTTGATTGGTTATTGTTACATTCAGTTGACTTTTTTGAAATTGTGACCATTGTCTATTTGTCCGCTCTATAAACTATACAACATCTGCATATAATATTCAACCTATAGGGCCAAGCAATTCAAGAGATTTACAGTATGCTATCCCTTGATACAATTTCACTTATAGGTTCAACCCCGGGCATTGCCGTTAACGATACTGCCCCACTTCGCTGCAAGGGAAGGTAGATGTCATTTATCTCCGAGAACTCTAAGTGTCTTTAATAAGGTACCTTTCCAATTTTATTAGTGCATATCTTCATAGATAAAATAAGCAAATGATAGATGTTGCTGAGCATGAGCACTGGCGAATTAGACCTGTACAATATACATACCGCGAGAGAAAGAGCACCGCGTTTGATTAAAATGCTTATATATAACAAGCAAGGCAATGAGGACAAGCTAATTGAAAGAAAAAAGAAACAATAGAGCCAGGATAGTGATGTAAGGGTGCAAACAGAGCAAACAGGAATCATATCGCGTTTCCAAGGTTCCCCGCGGTTGCGCAAAAGGAAAAAAGAAAAGAAACAATCCGGCCAACTCCGCCTATTTATCTGTCCAGCTTGCGCTTCAACTTCTCCCAATTACCTTTCCATTAACTCAGACCCTCCGGTTAATCAATATGGGCAAAGACTTGTCCCCGCCACAGGGCATCACGTCCCTCCTGGACACGGATCTGTACAAGCTGACGATGCAATGCGCGGTCCTCAAATACTTCCCGGATGTTTGTAAGTAACTCTAACCGAAGAATTGGGGATCTGGGGCTGATCTGGGCGCAGACGTGACCTACAGCTACACGAATCGGACCCCGCACATGAAATTGTATCGCGGGGCATACAAATGGCTTTTGGAGCAGATGGACAGTAAGGATATCCCTTCGTGTCGCAATACAGCTTCTAACTAATGCGCGTTTAGAACTGGCCGTAATTCGCGTCACTGCCGAAGAGCGCGAATTCCTCCGCCAAAAGTGCCCATACCTCAACGATGACTACCTCGCCTTCCTAGAGACCTTCCAACTCAAACCCTCCGAGCATATCAAGATCAAGTTCGTTCCGGAACAAGATACGGGCAGCGATGACGATCAAGGAAATGTGGAGTACATCGTCGAGGGTCTCTGGCTCGACACCATCTTGTATGAAATTCCGCTGTTGGCGCTCACCAGCCAGGCGTATTTCATGTTCACCGACAAGGACTGGGACTACGAGAACCAGGAAGAGAAGGCATACAAGAAGGGTTGCACTTTGCTCGAGAATGGCTGTGTGTTCTCTGAATTCGGCTCGCGCCGTCGTCGCGACTACCATACCCAGGACCTGGTTATGAAGGGACTCTGCCGTGCAGCAGAAGAGGGCAAGAAGCAGGGCTGGCCCGGTGTAATGGCCGGGACTAGCAATGTTCACTTTGCTATGAAATACAATAAGGGTGCCGTCGGCACCGTGGCACACGAATGGTACATGACCATTGCGGCTATCACGGACGACTACCAGAATGCCAATGAGCTGGCATTGAGTTACTGGCTTGGATGTTTCGGAGAGGGGGTATGTACATCTGTTTTCTTCATTATTCAGTGTCACAGACTAATTAGAGGAAACAGGTTCTTGGAATCGCTCTCACTGACACCTTTGGCACGCCCGCTTTCCTGGATGCATTCAGCAAGCCTATTTCAGCACCAAATCAAAAGGACAAGATTACTCCAAACACAATAACCTACGCGCAGAGTTACGCCGGTGTCCGCCAAGATTCAGGTGATCCAACATTATTCGTCAAGACGGTCCGGGAATTCTATGATAGTCAGGGTATTACCGACACCAAGACAATAGTGTTCTCAGATTCGCTGGATATCGAACACTGCCTGGAATACAAAGAAATTGCCGAAAAGGCAGGCTTTAACCCTACCTTTGGAGTGGGAACATTCTTTACCAGTAAGTCCACATTTGGCAATCCTGCAACACAAATGCTAACAAATTCCCAGATGATTTTATCAACAAATCAACCGGACAGAAATCAAAGCCCCTCAACATCGTTATCAAGATCGCCACGGCGAACGGCAGCCCCGCTGTCAAGCTCAGTGACAATATGGGCAAAAACATGGGCGATTCTGCCAAGGTCCAGGAAGTCAAGAAGAAGTTGGGTTACGTCGAGCACACGTGGGAGGAAGGCGATGAGAGTCGCCGCTGGACGAAGCAGGCATAAATTGTCTGTTCTTGACATACGATTTCCCGATTCATCGAAGATTTGCTGCAGATTTGCTGAACATGAGCCATGATCATATTGATATTAGAGAGGCCATTGTTGATCTCCGCTAGACATAATGTGCAAACTCCATAGAGAATAAGAATACATGATATCCTTGAAGACCTCTCAACTCTGTCCTTTCGAAACAAATCTCTCGAGTGATGTACACCTGAGCCACGCTTAAAGCTTACAACTCCTCCTCGTACTCCGCGTCTTCGTCCTCCAGCTTCAAGGCCTCCTCTTGCCTCAAAGCCTCCTCCTGCTTCAAAGCCTCCCCAACAGCCTTCGTAGTAGCCTGAACCTGAGCAATATCAACCGAAATCTCAGCAGCAGACTCATACTCCCCTCTCCAACACCTCTCCACAATATGACTAGCAACATAGTCATTATTCGGAAACTCCCCATTCATAAACCGGGAATTGATAACCTTCTCATCATCAAAGCTATCCAATTCAGGAAAAATCTCATGTCCAGAAATAAGATGATAGATCGCCGATCCGACAGCAAAGAGATCAGTACGAACATTCGCAAAATAAACATTATCCCTCGGCATGTACGACTTGGCACACTCACGCGTTAATCCATCGAGCAGGGGCATACCGGTAGTACTCGACATAAGCAGACCCTGGAAGTCGGCGAGGATGATATCGTAATTCTCGTCGAGGAGGATATTGTGCAGACAGATATCGCAGTGGATGACGCGCTTGAAGTGCACGTACGAGAGCGTGTCAACAAGCTGCTTGCACCATTCGAGGCGGCGCTCGAGGGTCTCGTAGGGGTGGTTCTTGATGTAGGTGCGGAGCGTGCCATTGGGGTAGTATTTCAGGATGAGACCGTCTTCGGCGAGGCCCTTGGATTCGACGATTCGGGGGTGTGCGCCTAGGATATTCAGGATGCGGTTTTCAACTTTGATGCTTATCAGGTAGCCTGGGTCGTTGAAGTCGGAGGCATATTTCAGGACCATTGTGTCGTTCAGCTTCCCGATATGGCAGGAGCCACGCGAGATTACTTCTTCCACGCCAGGTGGGATGCGTTCGTTGGGATATGAGTATTTGCGCCGGCGGACCTGACGGACTACAGTCCTTGTCATACTGGGCTATGGGGATGGTTCTTAGTCTTTGATCATGGTTAGGGTATATTGGTGCTCACGTTTGGGACGGGGAGATTCATTGTTGCATAGTTGTCGTATCACGGTAAACAATGATGACGGATAAATGCAAGGAATGGGTGGATGGGGAAGATGATGATAACTTGGAATAAAGAGAAGAGATAGGTGGGATGCTTCAAGTACGTGAAAGGACTGACAAACGATATGTTAAGAGCATACGACCACTAGCTGTTCTATAGACCGGGACCTCCTGAACTCCCGAGTCCACAACATTTTATCTAGTATGTGAGTGACTCGCGACTTTTAGTACGTAATTAATCTTCAGACTTCAAGCTGTTCTTATTAATGAAGATATTTTGATGGCTTCTTCATGGTAGCTGTCTTGAAATGGCCAATTTGCTACCAGGCCATAGTAGGCCATGAGCAGAAAGCTCCCAGACAAGCTTCGGGTTTAAGAAATATAGTCCATAACAAGTGATTCTTTCATCAAGGGTTGTCACTTGCCGTAGTTGTAGAAAAGAAATAAATTTGTCAAAGTCCACCTGCAGGCCGTTGTAATGGATCCAAACAGCTAGCCAGACAGTCCATCCATTTTGAAAGGCTTTCAGATAACCTCACAGAACCACAAAATAAGTTGTAGCTCAACGCCTGCGAGATATTGGGTTGCCGAGTTGCCGAGTTCCTTGGGGATCGGATAGCAATGAATTCAGACTACCTAGGTAGGTTCGAAGATGACTTCGCACTAGACATAGCATAGTCTGTCCCGAGCAGCCTGGCTGGTAATCTCTTAGCTGGTAGCTGCTCTAAATTCATGATTGAAGCAACAGATGCCTTGATTAGCTGGAATATGGAACCTGACATTCACGGGACGGTCGAAGTGCTGGTCGTTGCCATCAGCCCATCTGATGGTGATGCGGATATGATATCAATTTGTGGCCTCTGCGGATCCATGACAAAGACGAAATCAATGTAGAGACATAGGGCAAGACTAGCCACACCCCCAATTGCCGACTATGAGCGTCAAGGAGCACACATTGGAAGCGAGAGCGAGCAGACTACTGGCTTGTAAGCTCGAGAGACAGGAAGGCAAATCCAAGATAGATGATAACTTCTTTGAAGGAAGCTCTCTGGAAACCTTGAAAATTCCGTACAGAAGTTCCTCGAGGCATCACCCCTTTCGGCAAATTCTTTGGAACAACCACTCAGTCAAGAAATGCCAGTACACACAGATCAAAACGGATAATTCAGATGTCAGTTCAATGTGGATTATTTACAATTGAGGCCAGTTCTCCCCCTTTTCTCGAAAGAATCGGTATGTCCAGACTTCTAGCCTCAGTTTATAGTCATGCTTTCTGGTTGGCATGTGGATATATCGTGGGTGTAAGCAAGCCAAAAAGAAGGCGGATCAAGTATGGGGTTTTCTTTCGCTCTTTCACTTGTATATACGTTCCAGTCCATCGCCATACCGGGGGATTGTTGGTTGCCAAATGGCACAAGAGATGTCCCACCCACCATATCAGAGTGGTTGATGATGTTAGTAACACGAGGGGAGCGAGACAGAAATTAACTTGAGCGGGCTTCCGACCCGACGTAAGCTAGTAATGATGGCAGAGTTTAGACGTATCTGGGCCTCCATTGAAGGTTTCCTTGCGTGGTTGATTCCATAGCAATGGATACACTATGCTGTTTCAACGGGGATATAGTTTATAAACAAGTTCAGAATAATCAAGTTCGAGACGAAGAGCGGCCATGGCAGATCCATTCCCCGACACAGCCCTATGATGTGCTAACATCAAGGAATAAGGCATCATTCAGCTTATTTGGCACAAGAAGCGCAGTCGACATTTGGTAGAGGTAGCCATATGGAGATTGACAAGAAGAGTCAATGTCGCGAGCTCGATAGAGCTAGTACCACAGAATGTCCCGCATCATGGTATCATTGTTTGTGAGACAGGCCCGGAATGGTAAGCTTCAAGTCGATAAATGGCTATGGCAGTCCTCCTCTGCGCGGTTTCTATGTTGAGACAATACCGCGGAATAGTCACAGGCCCAGGAATAAGCAAGTTTTGGTATTTATACACGCAGGCAGGCTGGAAGCAGGCTAGTCCCTCTGAAACGCAGCTCTGACAGACAGATCCTGTGCCGGCGATGCTGAAAGGACGCTTGTGATGAAGCGTCATAAGATCATCAAACACAACACGGAACACGCAGGGCAGGCAGAAATTGTCAACTCCGAATAGAGCTGAGCCGGAAAATTGATGCTGTACTTGCTCCAGTTACATAATACAAACAGTGAGAAGCGCCACTTAGGCTTGTAAGATTGGAAGAAGTTCTGTATCCAGTCAGGCTGTTGCTCTTGAAAGGACCAACCGGAGATCTTCTTGCGGTGTCGCAGTTCAGGCAAGTGTCGTGACCGGTTTTCTCTCCGTCGTCTCAAATGCTAGTATATGGCAGGAAGCGGAGGCGATAACTGGGCTTGTGGCAAGACGATATAGCTGCTTTTCTCTTTGAGGGTGGCATCATTTTGAGCCTGAGGTTGCCCAAGACGGGTGCTTACTGGCGACCATTAAGGGCAACCATGCCATTTTTGACATGGATCAGTCCGGGTGAAAAGGCCGGAAACGTAGCAGCGTGGGGGTGGAGGCTATAATGGCGGTCACTGGCTGTGGGCCGAAGAACCGTATACCACGAAAAAAGGATGGCTATATTGAGGCAATATCGATGAAGAGAGCCATAATTTGTTGTGTGATATATAGACGATGAATACCAAAAGCGACATTTGACAGACTGTCAAACCGTAGAGCTTGTAGAAGCTCCACCGCATTTTCGGTTGATCTGTATTTGCGAACCCCTCAAAAGAGGCCATGTGGAGGACTTGATGGAAGACGTTCCAGGGAGGGTTGTAACCACAACAGAGAACAAGCCATGTGTCTCGGCACGTTGTCGACACGTCATGATCCTTAGGGCTTGTTTAAATACTGGAACGATTTGATGGGATAATGCCTGGGCAGCACACGTGTGGCATTTCTACTGGATGCTTTCAGTAAAGATGCCGTGGACGTTGGCCTAGATGAGCACCCGAAGCCCCAGCCACGAGAAGACAGAAAAATGGAAGACGTCTGAATGATGGAAATAGTTTGCCGAAGGGGGAGATATATGATGAGGGGCGCGCAGTGGTGAAATTTGGAACCCAGCGTCGGAATCCAACTTTTGATTATTGTAGGTATCTTCAAGAGATGCGTAAAGATGGCAAGCGTTGCTCAAAATGGACCAGTACGTCGAATTGGGGTAATAGCAAAAAGGCATTGTAGGGGAGGCGTTGGGTGCTTCTTGAAGCACAGCGTGTATGTGACGAGACATGACTAGATTTTGTTAGATCTGTGAAGATGTGCTCAAAACCATACTGAGCTTACATGGTTCTTCATGTCGAAAGTGTGTGTTTTGTGTATGTGGAGGGGTTGCATAAGGAGAGCTGTTGACCAGGTGATATATGTAGAGGTAGGTAGATGTCAGGGAAAATGTAGAGGTCGCAAGATTCTATGTCCAGAAGATCGCACCTTCTAGGGCTGTGACCAAACTTGGAAAGAGAGATACTCCCCATGTGAGGGTCAACATGGACAGAGATGATAGAGTTCTCTATAGAGAATGGCTAAGTTGAAATCATAAAACTAGATGATTCAGAGAAATAATTTCATGAATGGCTCACAGAGGAACTATATATGTACAGATGTACTCAGGCACCAAGGCAGGCAATTGGCAAAGAATACAATTGCACATTCATGCAGTTCATGTTTGCTCTTGCGTGTGTAGCTTAGGAATCTCTCATTATTTCCCAGTGAAACGGTACTATTTTATATCGCTCTATCTTGCTCATCGAATTTCTTAGATTACATGGAGTAGGCGTGATTGAAAATAAGATAATAATTACATTTCAATTTGTTATTTACACTAGTACATGTCGTCCCCAGACTGGAATCCCAAGTCCCGATCCAGATCGCCAGTGATTTCCGGCCTTGCATCGTTCATTGACTGATGACGAGAATGCACGGAGCGAACGTCATCTGTGTCATCTAAAGTAAAAGAGAGCGGATCGAGATGGCTTTGCTCTTGATCGTGTGGAGGAGTCGTCTTTTGGGGCTTGCGAAAGATTTCTGTGTTACTGTAATGATTGACATCGGTGTCTTGGAACAGCTCTTGTGCCCAGTCGATGGTGTCTTGGTCTTGGGGAGGGGGTGAAATATAGGGTTTATCGGGGTAGTTGGAGTTTTTTTGATTGGGAGGGGTTTGGATGTCGGGGAAGGAGTCAATGTCGATGGAGAGAAAGTTGAAAGGATTGTTGTCTATGATGCTAGGACCGGCATAATGGTTGAAATCATTGGGGAATAAACATGGCGCGGTTCCATGTCTGGTTTCCATGCTGGGCCTTCTTTGATGTAGGCTGTCTTGGACAGATGATGGTTGTGCTCGCAGCTTGGAAGTTTCAGCTGCAGTGACAGGTGGATGTGGTTGAGGTTGAGGAGTGGAGGCAGTGCTTGGTTTCCTGGTCGCCAGAGATGTGGCTGGAGCGTCGATGTTGTATTCCATGACCTGGAAGAATGTACTGGAGGCACCTGCCTGCATTTTGATGGCGGCCTCGATATTGGCAAACTCTTGACCAGCAGCTGGATAAATATCCTTAAGGCAGTGGAGAACTTGGATACAACGATGGAAGTTGTCGACACTGCTTTCGCGGACGGCGGGGTCGTCAGACATGGTGTTGGTTAAATGTGCCACAGCGGCAGGTAGGATCACAGTCACTCCAGACTGCGGTAAGAACCGGGTCAGATTGAGCTTATTTAAGCCTTGAATAATATGTGTGATCCCCCCAGCAGCATCGTTCATTTTTGTACGGGCAGCATTGCGCCAGTCCGTCCGCGATTTGGGTTGATCTTTTGAAGCAGTCGCCCAAGGCCGGTGAAGTGCGCTGCTGGTAGCATGGTATA